ATAAAACAAATTGCTCAAAGTTCCCAAGCTGTTTAAAGTAATACAAATATCCCCTTGTCAAGATTGCCTTAAAAAAACCCACACACGATCATCGAGGCCTGCCACATCCATCAATTTCTGTTCAGTTTTTCCCTTTTGTGTGTACACAGAGAGTCTGCCCATTTTCATTTCCAAGTCTCAACTGAATCTTAAGGTCAGTTCAGCCATCAGGTGTCTTCGGAAATTGGTGATAAATTGCCGTGTGCTAAACAAAGTTAATTTATGGCTCTGATTTTTGTTTTAAAGTCACAAATTTAGTGCAGAGCATTGTTCGCAAATGAAATGAAATATGAACTTATTAATTTCTGGCATCTAATCGCTTATACAGCCCACGGAGAAATCAGAAATCGGAGTGCCGGGGCAATAAATGATGTCTCGAAAAGTCGATATGCCTAGCAGGCCAGGCCTTATATTGTCTCTTGGCCAAGTTCAAATTCAAGGCTAAGCACGATGATGACAAATACCGGCAAGTTGTAGCTGTTGTTATTGTTTTCTTTTGTATGCCTTTGTTTTGGAATTAATTGATGGATCTTTAGACATGTCCGACTGCAGCAAACACAAAAAGTTTAAAACAAAATAATAACAATAAACGGAAACACAATAATGAGATAACAATAAAATTTGGATCTGGTTTAGGAAATTCATTTTTAATTTGCCTATGATTTTTTTTAGTAGAACATTTGCATTAAATATTCTTTTTTCCTTGAGTTTTTGCAAATTTTTCCATCTGTTTTCAGCAAATCTGTGACTTTGAATGGATTTTGTTTTAAGACAATAAAACGGCGCCTAGAATCAAGAGCCCCGAAGGTCGAATTAAGTTACCCCCACACACACACACATACAGAGGCAGACACAATGAGCAATTAAATAAAGTTTTATAATTTTGCATTAATTCGTTGTTAGATGCATCATCCATGGCCATAGGCATGATCGTTGTCATCGTCTGGGGACCGAAACTCTCGTTTTCATTTACATCTTGTTTCGTGCATATTTTTCGTATAAATTTCTTCGACGTCAGCGACGGGTTTCTTGATCGAAATTTATAACCCGAGTGAGCCAATCCGGTTGCGATATATAGAAGCAGAAGTCGGTGTCAACTCTTGTTTTTTGCCGTCTTTTTGCCGTTTTCGGTCTGCCATCATCTGGCCAATACAAGTTGCTAGTTGTCATAAGAAATTAGCATCTCCATGGTGTGTTATAAGATCTTGGCTTTTGGTACTTTCAAGGTCGCCTTTTCTTGTGGTTTATTGGTGCAGTGCAGACCCATACAAAAAATATACAAAATTCGAGGTACCCAATGGCACTGAAACACAGAAAAATGTGTAAAGTTTTTACGGCTCACTTGGTTTTATAGTTGGCCTGCCCTAATCGTCGTTTATTTTATGAATTTATGAATTAATAATTGACCGACTCAGGTTACTGGTTCACAGGAAGGGGAAGCAAGTTCTTAAAGAGTTAATTAAAATCATCGAAGCATAACTTGTCTTAATAAAAACTAATTTCTGCCTTAGTTTATTTATTTGCTAACGGAAATAGCTGGCTTTGTTTACGTATTTAGTATACTTCTTGGAAGCCTTGATAAATATTAATTACATTTCTGGGAAAGGCTTTGTATGTTGCTGTTCATTTTTGGGTTTATTTTGTTTGGTGTTTTTTGAATGCTTGCGTTTTTTGAATTAATTGAATTTATTGACTGACAAATGGATAAACCCTTGATAAATATTTATTAGGTTGGTGAGTAGGTAACACATATTTTTTAGTACTTAAATATTGTTTACTTTGCTAAAACTCTTTATAAATATTAAACTAAACTCACAAATTGAAAAAGTATTAAATTTTTCAACATTTTTAATGTTCAATCACATCGTTTAATAATTTTGGAATATGTATTTCCCACATTTTCTGTCAATTTTCCTCTCTTATCAATGGAAATTTCTCCTGATTTTAATTGCTATAATCTCTCATATCTTTAACCTAAATCTGCCAATAACATGAACTCCATTAGGAGCTTTTCTTTACTTTTCTTTTGCATTTGAAGACAGCATCTTCATGTCTCCAAGTCGTTGGCAGCAGGAGAAACCCGAGTTTCCTTTTCGGCTGCACTTAAAACAAAATCAATTTGTATTTGTTTTATTTTGAAGTTTTGCTATTTTGTTATTGTTTTTTGCATTTACCAAAGCTCTTCGGCAAATAGGTTTTATCGCCCATTCCGGTTGGCCAACTTTTTCGACTCTGACCTGAACTCTTATGGAGTTCAGTTCCCAGACACTCGAGAGATGCAAACAGAAATTATTATTTAACTTCTACCGCCACCCGGGGGACAATTAAGCAAATATTATTGTTAAATTTCTTAATTGTGGAAAACTGTGGGCAACGAAATGGAGAGTGAAAAGCGTCAAAATAAAACGTTTCAGCCGCAAGATGGATGAAAGTAAAATTTCAAAATTTCATTTGTTGCTGTTGTCTGCCTGTCTGTCTGCTGCTGCTGCTGTTGCTGCTTTTGATGATGAAAGTAAAATCTTGGCTCAGTTATGTTGGCCATATTCGCCGATGCCTTGGTGTTGGTTTGCTGCTGTTGTTCGCTGAAGATGCGCAAACAATTTGAACATCTCTTCGCACAAACACCGATAGAAACTGTAACTGCAGAAAACTCGGGGGAGTGGAGGTGTGGATGGTGTGGACTGGGGCTTCCAAGGCGGTACTTGGTTTGGTCCAACAATATACAAGGCGCAGAGAAATAATTAGCAACGCCTGAGATCATTTTTGTGTTTGCAAAACGCTCTTTTGGCCATGAGCGGTAGCCATTGGTACACCGCAAAAATTTCGCTTGAAATCTGGTATCGAGTTATCATTTTATCACCTTAGAAACACCTTCCCTCGTGATCCTAAGAAATATATGAACTTAAATTCACTCAACAAGTTTTATTGAATAAAGAGATCCATTAGGCAGGATGATAGAAACATTAAAGTAAAATATTTTTTTATCAAAATTCTATATATAAATTTGTTTTCTTATAAATTTCGAAGAATGATTATTCATTAAACATTGCAGGGTATTATAATTTTAGTTAGAAGCTTAAAAAGCTGTAAAGAAATCATTTTTCTAAGAATGCAAATATTTTAAGCTTAGTTATGAACTATTTCCTGCAAGGGTAAATAAAGTTCAGATTTCCGAAGTCTGTTTTCTTTCTAATATTTAAAAAATCATCAATAAATTAATCTGTAACCCAAGAAAGTAAAAGCAGTGACTTCAAGGATACCCTAATTCCTATCGTTTTCATATCATTTATAGAACCCATAAATCTCCCATATTGTCTTGAATAAAATCATTAATTTTTTACTCTGTAACCCTACTAAAAAATAGGGGCAAGGGCTTAAAGGAGGCGTTAGGCACCAAGTAAAGGTGTTTGACTTCAAGATAAGCAACGAAGCCTCTAAACTTAATGCAAATTTTCAGTCTTACCTCTTTGAAGGCGGCCAAAATGTTGCTATGTATAATCCACAAAATGGTTTAACGTTTTCGCATTCGTTTTATTGTCGTATGCTGATTTTTGTTGAATTTTTCCAGCTGATTTTTGTGTTAATTTAATGTGTTTCCTAAATGAACAATAAAGATTTAGCCTCATAAAACAGTTGGCACTCACACAAGCCCAAAGCGATCTCACACGCAAAATCACACAAAGGCAAAAGTCATTATGTTTTTCCTTTTCTTTAAGATATTTTTTTCTTTTTTTTTGCACTTGTATTAAGTTGCTGCAGTTTTCTTTAACTGTGTGTTGGTGATCGTGTGCGCTTGTGTTAGTGCACTTGTGGAAATTTTTATCGTTGTTTAGATGATTTTGTAACTGCCTTTGCGGTTACTTTTGATTTAATCCACAGGAAATTGCTTTAAATCTGACTATATTCTATGCGTTCCATTCACTATTATTTTATTAAACACCAACAAGACACTTCATACAACATATTTCGATAGATTTTCTGTGGATTTTTCCATATATTTCGATCACTTTTTATATAATTTGTCCAACTCTCTCACGCACAGAGAGATGACCGCCGTCGTCCATATATGTGTATATATTTATTTATATATGCACCGATCGGATCGGATGGGATTGCCACGCCCACTCACTCAGTGCCCAGGTATGCTGGCTGCCGTTCACCTGGCTGACCGCTTGCAGACTGAAATTGCAGATCGTGTATTGGCCAACTCGCAAGCAGTTGGCACAAACTGGGAGTTCGGCTTTGGCTTTTGTCTTTTGACTTTTCGGTTTGTCTTTGTATTTGGCTTTGGGTTTTTGCTTTTTCCCCCACAAAAGCTCCTCGGCTCAGTTCGACTCGGCTTGACGCTCGCTAATTTTGGTCCGTCTGAGGCTCTGAAAACGGGTTTATTGCCGCTTCGACGACGCTTACCACTTTGCCGAAGCCGCTCCGCGCCGCCTTTGCGCATGCGCGGCACGTTGTCATCGAGCAGAGCGGAGAGTCGAGCAGAGAAATCCGTACTCAGGAGACTCCGCAAAGAGCTCCAGACCCGGAGATCTCTCAGAGCCGAGCTTTTCTTGCCTTGCTTTTCCTCTGTCAACATTCTGCAATCGAAGCGATTGTCTTTGCTGCTGACTTTGCTTGACTTTGCTCTGCATTTTGAGCTTGAGCTGCTTGATAATCGTGCTTAACAGGTTTACTGATTAAGATTTTTTCAGACCTTTTGCTCGGCTTCTTGCAAAATATTGGAAAAATGTAACAAAAATTAGTAGGGGCTTATCAGAGCAGGTGGGGAATACTCTATAGGGTTACCTTATGTTCTCAAGTATTCTTTTAAATTAATATATGTTTTATTAACTAACTAAAAATATTGTATTATTAAATATTTGTTATGATTAATTAAAAACTTTTCATCTTTTATTTTTAGAATATTTAAGGACTATTTCTATTCAATTTTTAAATTAATTATTATTATATTGCAGGAATTTTTATAGGTATCTTGGCAATTTGTTTTTATTCTGGACTATGGTAAAATTAAAGAGGCTTATACAAAATATGATACATTTAAATAAGTCTAGAAATATTGTACTTATATTAAGCTAGAAATAAAAGTATTTAGTTTATATAAACGCTTTATAAGTCTTGATAAACAAATTAATAAATTTTATTTCTACCATTTCCTAAGCCTAAAACTAATAACTATCTTATAATTAAGTCATTGTTATTTATATGGCTAAGTTATATTTCCTTTTATAGTTAACCACTTCCGATTAAAAATCCATGCTTTCTGTGGCCTTTTCCCATTACTTAACAAGCTTGATCCGTGATCCATTATCGATTTACCAACTAATATGCCAGTGTGCATTGTTTATTTTTAGTGCCTTAAATGCTTTTCCTTATGCTTTCCTCTCCAGCTGACCGCAATGACATAATGGTAACAATAACACAACCAAATTACGGTTACAGTTCAATTAATGAACCGCGTTTTGGGCCAAAACAAACGAACGGGCCATCTGCCAACGCATTAGTCACACACACAGAAATTATTTAAACGCCTCATGAATTATTGCGCATACGCAGCGTGGTTCGCTCGTTCGCTGGCTCGTTCGAGTGCCTCGCTCCGTTTGGCAATTAAATGCTAACCACTGTAGTAGTTGGTCAAGACTGCACTTCCAAGCATTGGATTCCATTGACCGAAAACCCACAGATCGAAATTCGTTTTGAATGCAAAATAATGCAAAACATTTCGCGGCTCTCATCATAATGGAATCAATCAAGCTCCGTTTGTAGCGGCTTATGGCATATCGCTGCTTCTCTTACGTCACAAAGTATAGCAGCTTTTAGTACATTGCAAGAAAATAAGATATCATAATTTATGGAAATGAATTATAAAGTATATATGGTAATATTAGTTTTCAATTAAGCTAATATTACTATATATTATAAGTATTTTGAAGATAATAAGTTATGGGTAACTTTCGAACAAGGTTTGAAGAAGGATTTTGATAAGCTTAAACTTCTGAAACTGCAAAAATTAAAAAATAGAATTTATTTATTTATTAATATTTGTCTGGGCTCCCCATTTTTTGTCTCAGTGCAATGGTAGTAGCAACCGCATTAAGAGTAATAATGCTGCACTGCATCTGAGCGCTTGTTCCGTATGTGAAAGTTGAATTTAAGCACTAAATCCAACTGTAGCGAAGTGAACTGAACCCAACTTGCCGCTCAGACTGCAACTGTCTGCGTATTCAAATTGGAACAGAGCCAGGCTTAAAATCTTAAGTAGTATTCGTATCTGTATCTGTAACATGCGGAATTGTCGAGTGCTTTATCGCTAACGGCGTGTGCCTCACATCTCGCATCTAGTTACATTCAAACGCGGAGAGACCCCCTTTGGGTTACACTAGGTAACAAAGCAAAGCAAAAGAGATAGTTTAAAATATATGAATAAATTAATACACAAGTATAGATATGTAAATACATATGTAAGTTAAATGGTTAGCAAATAATACAACCTTCTTAGTGGGGTAATTATGTTAAGCCCTCAAATAGATAGATTAAATCAATAGAATTTTTAGATTAAAATATATTAAATGGTTATCAAATTATACAACCTTGTTAGTGTGGTAATTATGTTAAGTCCTCAAATAGATAGATTAAATCAATAGCATTTTGTATAATATATTAAAATCTAGGCAATTTATGGATGTTTTATATTGATTATATTGTAATAAGTTATATATTATTGATAGCTAAGGTAAGCATTGGTCAGTGCAGCTTGAATAAGCTCAAAATATATAATTAAATTCCCATAGCTTTGATATCATGGAAACTGCATTAGAATACAAAGAAATTAACAAAAACAAATCCTAAAACTTATTTAGACTTTTTAAAACATTTTGTAAAACCTTAAAGAGTCCATATTTTTGTTGCCTAGTGCTAAATCTGTGCCCCGCTCTATCTGTGTATGAGAATGGGAGCACCGTGTCGCCCGGCTCTGGATCTGTATGCGTTGTGTGTTTTTGTGTGGGTCGAACGGTTTGTTGAACCGGTATTCCACATTTGTTGCAGGTACCACACACACCAACAAAATAAGTCACAAAAATAAAAGCAACGAGAGTCGGCTCAACGTGTTGTAACTACTACTTAACTGGTCCACTAAGCACTAGCCAACAACAATCCGGCGATCAATAGATCCCAATTGTGATCGCTCAAGTTATGCCAGCTGATAAAACGAGCAATTTGTTCAAAAATATTGTTTCTTTTTCGTTCAGAGGGGTTGTCCGTGATAACTATGCCAAATTGGCATGGAAATGCGGTGAAAATAAGGATGGAAAATAAATTAATAGAGTTGCAAGAGGTTTTATTTTGAGGTATTTTAATATTATTTAACATAGTTTATAATAGTCATAAAATAAATTACGTTTTCCTATGAATCTTATTGTTAGTTATATCAATTTCCATAATATTATACAAAACATTGAACATTTTAAGTAGAACATATAAATTCGTCAATACGTACTAAGTATAAAAGGAAATATCTTCTAACATACGTTTTTATGTACAGATTATATTTTGTTTTCTTAAGATAAAATAAAATAAGTCATAAATAGATTAATAATAATTGTAACATTTACTATATATTAGAAAATACATTTTTTATAAGATATAAAATATAAACAAGATAACAAACTAGTAAATTGTTACAAAAGAAAAATCAAACGAAATAGTTAGCTTGACTTTTCTTTCTTTTTGTTAAGAAGTGTTATTTAATTTGCCAAATTATCGTATAAATATTACAATAAAAAAATCACTTAAAAAATAAACATTTTTACGGCTTGTCATTGTCATTGAATTAAATAAAATTTAAAATCCACATGTTAGGGGCATTTATTCATATTAACCACGAGTAATATGAATAAATTACTCTTTATAAATATATATATGGGAGTATCAAAAATACAAATAAATTAATAATTAGGTTCAATTTGCGTAAGGTCTTTTTAAATATTTTATATTACAATCATTTTCTTGAATACATTCTTATCTTCTGACAAACTCTTTCTCTCAAAGGACACTCCTCTGTGATAAATGTTTGTGGTAATCAAAAACCCTCTTAAGAAGTGCATAAAAAATGTGATTAATTTAATAATACTCGCCTTATATTACATTTCCTTGATTGCAATTTCAAAGTTTGTAATGCAATTTCTTGAGGTTTTCTTTGTTGTTTGTCAAACTGCCAACTGTGTAATTAGCCCAAATTCGTGGAGACCCCACCCCAAAACTGATTTTGAGTCATTCTTATTTTGCTTAAGCCAGAGAACCAAACCAAAGGCTATGTAAAATTTAAACAATAATGCCTTACTTGGCCCCCCCGATCCCTGCCGAAATAAAAAGCGGTTCAACTTGTTTTGTGTATAGCTCATTATTGTTATTGTTTATTACATATAAAGATTGTGTTTACTTGGTGGCTTTTGCCTTTGTTTTGTTTTGTTTTGTTTTTCTTTTCTTGATTGCCTTTTTTTCTGTTGTTAAATGCAACTGGTTCGATTGTATCAAAAGTGGTTACATTCTCCTGACGGGGCGGGGGCCTTGAGATGTGGCTGGCTGAATCGAATTGCAATTCCGCGAAAAGGCACACAACCGATTCAGCTGCTCGATTGACCTTGTCGAGTGAATATTATTAAGTCGATTATAGGATGAAAAAGTTCACCACGAATCGGAACACCTTGCTCAACGTGCTGTTCGATTCGGGTCGCTCCGGGGACTCCTGTCGCAGCTCGGCGCCCGCCACCAGATGGGCATCCAGTTCGGCCTCCAGTTCGGCGCCATAGCGCAGGATATACCACTCGGCCAGGAAGTAGATGACCAGTGTGATCAAGGCAAACTTGAGGTAGATCTTAAATATGTCGAACACGTTCAGCAAAAGCTGATGCAGCAGCTCCATTAGGTCCATTATTGCGGCCCACGGTGCGTATACGTCATGCAGGTATTAAAATAAACACTGAAATGGAGGGAGAACATTTTTTGTACAAAAAACTATGCACTTAAAGTAAAGTATGTTTAAAAATAATATTTTAGTTGCTTTGGGGTTAAACCCATTACTTATAATACTTTGACAGTTTTGTAGGAAAGTAAACAAGAAACTAGAGTATGCATATCTTTAAAGAATGATTTATTTGTTGCAAGAGTGCCTTATATTTTGAAGGTTTAACTAGAAAATGTGCAAAAAATATTCAGGTTTATGTAGATACTGATATATGATTTTAGGTTAAAGCTTAGGGTACTATAATTTGTGTCAAAAGTTTTCAAAGCAGTAAAGAAGTTGTTTCTGATAGATATAAAATATAGATAGATAGATAGATTTAAAATATATAGAAGATATATTTTCCGAAGATATAAAGTTTTTAAAAATATATATATTAAAAAATTTATATTGAATTAATTATTTGTGATCGAATTTAAATTTAAAGCTTCAGTGTGTTAAATTAGCTTCCGTTCTTGTAATAATATAATATTGTTAAGACGGCGAATAGCTCTCTCTCCCTCTCTGTCCCTCTCACTCTCTGTCTCTCTCATGCTGCCTCTTGGTTTCTACCTTTTTCGGTGTGTCTATCTCTCTCTATGTATCTCTAGAGATAGCACTTTCTCTGTATCTCTCTCCGCTCTTCCGCTCTCACTTTCTCTGCTTTCTTCACTCGGAGACTATAAATACAGTGCGCTGCCTCGCACTGACCTCATTCTGTCCGTGGCCTTCCCAGTGTTTACATCTAGAGCGATGGTAGTGATAGTGATTACCCTTTGACCTAAACAACATAGTGAAGGAGTCGGAGTTCAATATGAACCAATGATCCTATGTTATTGTTCTTAATTGTTAACAATAAAATATGCCTCTCTATTATGGAACTTTTTTAATATAGACTTTTTATCTATTAGCTATCAGGCAATTGTGTGTCTTGTGGCACACTTTTTCAAAAGTACACTGCTTGCCAAAGATGATGGAAAAATATTTGTTTAATCCAAAGAGTTGTTACCTCTCAGGTTTACCTGTTCGTCTGCTAGTCGGCCCGTGTGTTGTCGTCGATCGAAGTTTTGCGATTTTGTAAAATGAGGTCGTGTTTGGTTTTTGGTTGGCTCTATTATGCAATTGCCAGCTCTAGGTCTTCGTGTTGACGATGCACATTTCGCTTTTGGCCGCTGAGTGATGTCGCCTCATTTGCATTGGGATTCGAGGCGAGCGGTGTTGATGGCCGCCGTACAAAAGTGCGTGTCTTTCCCTGATATATCTCTCTCAATGGCCAGCCATTGGGCAGGCACCTTAATTATGTTAATATGTGTAGAGCATTCAAATCTTTTGTGGTCTTTCTTCCACCTTTTCTCCGAATCTTCCGCCTTTCTTTCGGGCTTTTGTCTTCAGACTCCTAAAGTCGCTGCGGCTCCCTGCAAATACGAGCATAAAAAAACAAATTTCGTTTTAATTTGATTGAAAATTAATTAGAGACTCACAAAAAGATGAACGGGTAAAAAGGGCAAAACAAATTGGATTGCGAAAAAGTGGTCCAAAAACTGGAGCACGAGGTGTGACCGAATTGGGAGATTGTATATGGATTGTGGATATCAAATCGGAGGCTTGGGGCAGGTCGGATTACAGTCGTTTAAATTAGCATTGAAAATGGTTTTTGGCCAGATTGAATACTTAATTGAAAAAAGAGACAAATGGGAGGGCAGAGCGAAACAAGATCGAATTTGTCAGTGTGAACCTTGAATTAGCCGGGGATTTTGTAATAAAATATATCTTAAAATCGAGACAGAGATGCTGGAAAAATGATAATAGTGAAGGTAAACTGATAATTAAGATAAAGCTGAAAGACTTGAAGATTATTTTTTGGATCTTATACTACCCTGTGAAATCTAAACTTTCGCTAATCTATAAAATATTTAACCATTTATTAATATTATTTAATGTACGAGCATTATTATAGCTAGTACTTTCACAAATACTCTTATTCTTTTAGTTAAATCATAACATTTATTTTTCATTAGGAAATTTACTTTTAATAATAAATCTCCAATTAAGGCTTGAGAAAGGCTCAATTATTAAATATACACAAAACCAGCAGTCATTAACAAAACCATCAATAATTAAGCTAAGGTAATTTCCACTCTCAAGCCATTAAGTTAATCATATTGATGTATCCCAAAATAAACCCATCAAATTTCTTTGTAGCCACATTGACCTTACATATTGCTTAATTTTAAATTGATCCAAGAGCAGTAACCTCTGTCACCCACTTTGTCAGTCCCAGTCTGACCCTGATCTCTAAATCCACTTCATATTTGTCTTTTTATTATTAATTCATAATGCTCGTCATTTGGAGGAAGCTTAAATATAAATTTAAATGGATCAGAGATCAGTCAACTAATTATGCCACTTTACCTCCCAGATGACCCTGATAATGAATGTTCATCAATTTGTATAGTTTGATGTGCTCATAAGTCTTTTAAGAGTTCAAATCAAAATATATCATAAATCTGAGACTATTTAGGGAATGATAATAAACTCTATAAGGGAGTGGGGATGGGAAGATTTTTTAGGGATATACCATTTATTTCTATAAATATATTTAATATAAAATTGTTAATATAAACTGCTGGTATTCATTTCTGGCAATTGAGATATGATAGTTTCAATTACGAAGTGACGATTTTTTATATAATTATGTTTTTAGCGAACATAATTAATTCTATATGGAACCTAGGAATGGGAAGACTTTTTCGATATTCAAAGAAATTTCTTTGCAACCCCTTTTGCAGTCACGCCACTGATCATAGCTATCCATCAGCGGGCAGATCGGCAATTTGAGACAGACCGCAGTCAAAACCTGACCGGAGATTGCATCTCTCGTATTTTTGAATACACTTGACAATCGCTAAACGCAAAACCGTCGTGTTAACCTTACCCACAACGTCGAGCTGTGTTGAGTTGAGATGAGATGAGATGAGGCAGTGATCAAACTGAAACTCAAATTCAGAGCCAAACTCGGCTCTTTGGACAACTCGATAATCGCAGCAATTATACTAAGCACACAAATCAACTTCAACTTGAGGGGGACCTGTTCGAATGAGATGCCTCTCAGCTGGAGCTGGAAATGTTTTGCATTAATTTTCAAAACGCATGCGCAAAAGACGCAACATATTTATAAGACAGCGGCCAGAAAACCCAAACTGCAGTGGCAGAAAACCAGTTGCAGATGCGGATAGCCTTCGCTTCTGGGGAGGATTTTCGGGTTGAGAGGAAGGTTGCATCTTCCTGATGCAAAAATGGCAAATGCTGAAGTTGAACTGTCGCATATATAGTCAGCGGAGTCCACAGCCAGATTCGGTTTGACAGGTCGTGCAAATGGGCAAGAAGATTTCGCAGAAGTCACCTCTCCACATCCACATCCGACGGAGATGAGATGAGTTCCAAGTGCTTGGCTGGTGCGTGGATCTACCGGTTTTGCGAGACCAGAGCCAGACACCTTGAAAGACCTTCTGACATTTTGCCGACTCGGTTACCCTGCTTTTTTCTCGGACCCTGGTCACTATTTGGTGAAGCTTTTCAATAAATTAAGTTTTGGTGTGCAGCAACTATTATTACCATCAAACGAAGCAAGCGAAGTGGTTTGGCAATTAAACAAATTGTTTTTATAAATAATTATAATTATACAACGTAGGATTTGTTGAGGTAAAACTATAAATGTGTGTGAAATCCAAAAGAGAAGTAGTTCTCAAATAATAACAATATCTTCTTCAATAAAAAATGTTGCCAATTTTAAGGAGACACTTCTTCTATTAATTGAGACCTGAAATCAGGCTATGAACAAGGGATTTTAGTCGAATTTTCTAAGCCACAACTATATATATCATTTAATAAATACTATACATAAATATTATCTTGCAACTAAAGTAAATATGAGAAAAGGGACTAATATCTTTCTATATTTTAAACCAGATCAAAGTTTAAGCTAGTTAAAAGTCTTACCGAAATTAGTAATCAACCTTCAATGGATTTTGACTTCATTAACCATTATTTACAGTATTTTAGAAATATATAAAAAACTCGAACATTTCTGTAACTTCTACTTTAATTCAATTATGTTCCTTAAATACCTCACTCTTCAAGAGCATTTAAGCTTCCCCAGACTCTTACCTTCCTCCCTTCTGGCAAATAAATTTAATTTGCGCAATTTATTGAAGACAATTTCAACATTCACATGAAGCCGAGAGTTAATGAAATAATTTCTTGTTTTGCTCGCAACATTTTCCCCCTTCCCTCTCCACCAGCCTCCTCCTCTCGCTTCGGTTCATATTTTGCATGAAATTCGCGTCACATTGTAAATTATTTAGTTGCATATTAATTAGTGGACACTTCCAGCCAAAAACCGTAACAAAGCAGCAGCCAGGGGGCAAAAGTGAGGGAAGGAGAAGAAAAATATATATTGTTTAAGCTTCTTACATAATGCAAATGGTGTTAACTTGACTCCAGTTACCAGTTGTGGCCTCCGTGGTTGTCTAACCCATTAAAAAAACGTGAACCAACATTTTTTGGGGGGGAACGGCGGCTCGAATGTGGGTGACCGGAGAGTGAATGGTCAAGTCAAGTCGAGTCAAGTCGAGAAAATGAAAACACTATTTGTGATTTACAGTGCCAGAGAGAGGGTTAAGGCGGGACGAGACGAGGGGGGGTTAAGAGCGCCAAACAAAACTGTGACACACTTTGTGCCACTTTCGGTTAATGACTGAAATTGAAATTGACTTTTAATTAGGTTGCTTGTTTTAGGTTTTATTTTGGTTTTGTGTCTTACTTTCGGTCAGTTCATTTGCTTAAAGCACCGATATTTCCGCATCACAGTTGGGGAGGCTTATTTCTTATGCATGAGCAACGACCGGCATTGCGTAGGTGTAGTATTTATGTACATATATACAGGTATATAAAATTACCTGCGATTATTTCGTACGCGGAAATGAAGTCTCCCCGTTGTGGCACACAAAACTTGAACTACTTCTTCTCTATTTCGGCTCCAACTCCATTTTCCCCCTCATTTCGAATGTAGATGGCATGGATATGGCCCGATGGGGAGGGTAATGGGTTAACATCAACAGAGATTATAGGGGGAAGATAAACGTTTAACACCTCTTTCATGGATGTGCCTACAAAGCAGGAGTTTTAGTATCTCAACACATTAGTTTCTTAAAAAAGGCTTCATTGGTTGCTATACTACCCTAATACATTTGTTTTATAAAAATAAATAAAGATGTAATAGATATATAAACACTAAATATTAAAAGGAAACTTTGGTGTTTTCCTCTCCATAAGGGATAAGATGTGTGTTATCAAGGCAAATAGCAAACATAATCATAGTCAATATAGTAAATGTTACTGGTGTTGAATATTTTCTTTAAGCTTTTGCAACTTGGATTTCTAATTTCTTAAAAAATTTAAATATTTTGTTATATGAGGAGCACTCCCACGATTTTTCGTGAAACCCTTTACTAAAGATGAAAAGGCCAGTGAAGGGTGATTAGCTAACTTATTATGTTGGCTTAACAATAGTCTGCTTTTCATCTTTCCATTTAAGTTTAATCCAGCTTCAAGGCGAGCATTCATACACAAAGAGAAGAAAAAATATACTCAATTTTGGAAAAATACCTTAATTAAAGAACTCTTTACTAAAAGGTGGTATAAAATACTGTAGAAAAATATCAAAAGCCTAAAACAATATTGATCGATTCAGGCAATATTAATTCTCTCTGTGTATTTGCCAAGCACTTTGTCCGCGTTTTTTGTGAACATTTCCCCAAAGTTGTTAGTAGCCTGAGCGCTTGGCTTCCTATTGATATTAATTCTATCGCAATTGTAGCCATAATTATTACTTACTGCCTTGTTTATTCCAAGCTCCTGGCACATTTTCGAGGTATTGTAGAAGTGTAAATAAAACAAAACAAAATACAATTTGGACGCAGCACAAACAAATAATTTTTGACGATATTTTCTAAAAAGCTGCTTCTTCTTACACACGGATCGAAAGCTTTAACACCATATGTTCAGCAGCTGATCGCTGTCAAGTTGAGCTTTAAAAATACTCCAAAGAGGAAGAGGGACAACTATATTGATCATGATCTTTAAAGCAAGTCAGTCAAGCAGTTTAAAAAAGCTTAAACTTAACACTGCTTTGTAATTAAGAAGTCAAGCTGCTTATTTCCGGCAAGCAGTGAAAACTTAAAAGCAGTTATTTTTAAAAATGTTTATTTACTTTGATGTTTGGTTTAAATGAACATGAAAGGTGTATGTGTGTGTGTTTGTGGATATTTAACAATGAAAGAAATGTGTTTTTGTTATTAGTATTAACAAATTGTATACAAAAGATAATTTTGGGAAACATTCAAAAGACGTAACGAGGAATTTAGCGCCAAAACTGAGGTTTTTGTGACAACAACAAGAACAATGATTACAAAGCTGCACAAAGCAAAATATAGTAATTTTTTATACATTGCAAAAATGTATTATCTAAAATGTTGAAGAATCGTATTTTTCTTTCTGTTTAAATTTAAGAGTTTTGTTTTAGGAATTTCTTTTTCCAGACAAATATTATTGTGCATTTTGAAAATTGCTTACAAACAAATTTAAAAATTTGTTTATACTTTTCATTTGCTGTGCATTTAAAACTCATTCAATGGCCTCGATTATTTCATATTCTTCATCCAAAGAATGATCATAATCGATGTTGTATTTGTTCTTGATCTTGCTCTTGTAGTCCTTGAGCTCTGCATCATTTTCGAATTTGTTAGTATTATAGCGCTGTTTGCCTCGGGAATTGTTGTGTGGATTTTGTGTGTTGCTATTGCTATTGCTTGGGTTCTTTTTCTTCCCTTGATGCTGGCTATTGCTGTTTGTGCGATTCCTAGTTCTAGTTTGGTTGCGGTTGCTTTCCCTATCGCTATGGCTAAGTCTATTGGGCTTACTGCTACTGCTAGGCTTTGATTTTCTTTCGCTATTTTTACTAGATTTATGTTGCTGCTGCTGTTGCTGCTCCTGTTGCTGCTCCTGTTGCTGCTGCTGTGATGATGAGTACGACGATTGAGGATTGGTACTTGGTGTGGTAAATCTCATGCTACCTCTAAAGCTATTTTTGGTCATTTTACTGTAGTTGCTGCTATCTATGATTCTATTGTTGCTGTTGAGTTGATGTTGCTGCTGTTGCTGTTGCTGCTGCTGCTGTTGCTGCTGCTGCTGCTGCTGTTGCTGTTTCTCCTGATGTTGCTGCTGTTGCTTTTGAAATTGCCGCTGTCTGCCTCCGCGCTGTTGTGTTGTAGTTCCGTTTGTTGCTGTCCCAATCTTATACTCATCATCGGCCTCATATCATACATCACTCGACGACTGCTGCTTCTCGGGAATGCGATAGAGTTCGTCGTTGTTCTGGTAGAGCTGCTCCGAGCCGGCGCAGTTAACATTTGACCACCAATCGCAGACACGGACGGCCTGGTTGAAGACAGTGCCATTGGGGCAGAGGAAGGAGTACTGATGGCCCGAATGGAGGCACCAATGCCACACCTGTAAATAGCAGTCATTATATATATACATGATATATGGCTACTTAGGGGGCAACTTCACCTGACAACGCGTCTCTGTGTCCGCATAGTAGCCCGGCTGGCGACCCTGACAATTGAAGGCCAAACCCTTGGGCACTGCATCGTAGGCGGGGTAATCCTCTCCAGCAATATAGCCATCGATTTGCTGGAAAAAGATGTATAAATAAAATATATAAAAACTAGTAAAAACAAATAATGAAGCAATTATATTTAAATATTTGCAATGCTATGCAAACAAACCTGAATACCATTGGCCCCTATTTCGTTTATAAAATATTATAATGCATTTAATAGCAATTCTCTCAACACATAAAAATATGGAATTAAATTATGACTTCATTTGGCGGATCTTCGTGTGAATTATCTCAGCTTACAGTTTGCTCAGCGACCTTCAATTGTGGGTGGCATGTGGCAGCCACATATTGCTCAAGCGCCAACAACAAAATGAACTCTAAACAATAACAAATTACAATTTGAAACAATTGCCACATAGACACATTTAAAATGCAAATGCAGCAACACGAGAAACACTGGCAGAAACCAACAAAAGAACCAGTGAGTGTTGAAAATTGTGCACTTGCAACAGTTGCAAATAATTGTGTGCTCCGAGTGTGTGTGCCCCATGTGACAACCGACTGTCAATCTCATGCGTACGAAACCATGAAAAGCCGAAAAGCTAAAAAGTCGAAAAGCCAAAAAGCCAAACAGTCGAAAAGAGCAACAAAATAAAACAATAAACACATCGAAGGCGGAGAGCAGATGGGATCCTCACACTCGGATTCTTTTGTGTCGATGGAGCAGACTCATCCATACATCGGTTCCAGCTCCATGTTGCAGGTTGCATCTAAACCATCTATCTTGATCTTGCCTCAATTTCTAATCCGAATGCAGTTTCCCATTGTTGCTGCCACCGCCGCCGCCGTTACGCTCAAATAAATCTCTCTCTCCCTTCGGCGGCATCTCCCTCCCATCCAGCCAGTCAACCGCCTTCAAGGGGTTAAGGGGGCTTATTTGGGTTAATGCCGAATTTATGCTAATGGAAGTTATTTCGACGTGGCAAAAGTGATTGGCAATGTTCAGTCGTTTGAAGGGGTGAGAAACAGTTGGGATTTCTTCTTGGGAAACATTAGGGATTTATGGGAAGATATAGAGATATTCTTTATTTAACATGTATAGAAATCTTAGTTAAAATAATGTCATATTTCCTCAAGATAAACTTCCTAAACTAAGGCTTCTTTTATAGGTAACATTAGGAATTTAGCTTCCACTTTCGATTGCAATTTCCAACATTTACGCTGCCTCGTTTTTCGGCTTAACTTTTCTCAATCACTGGCAATTTTCACGCTAATAACTGGGCTTTCCTGGGCTTTTTAACATTTCAAACAGTCCCCAAAGAGACACAGAAATGAAACAACAAACCATGTTAACCGCCCATTGCCTCAGTAACCCAAAAATAACGCGAAGTAGACCCAGTCCCAGTGCCTTGGATTTCCCCGAAGATGCTCCCCCTCGCACCATCACCATCAATTATTTTCCTCCACTCTCAACCTTTGGCCGGGCCATTTTCCTTTAAATATCAAGCAGACGAGACGGCATGAGAGTTACAACTGGAAAATGGTTAATTTTCCCTGTATTTTCCTTTTATATCTGTTTGCCGAGCGCGGCTGAGGGGTAACCAAGGCTAATTGATAATGTAACACACAGCGGGGAATAGAGCCCCAAATGGTAAAAAGCGAATGTTGTTTACACTTTTTTGTTGTGTCTAGTTATACACTATATATAGACTGTATTTTATAAAATAAAAATGGTTGTACTAGCTCATCAATTTCTGTAGAAATTCATAAGTATTAATATATATTTATCAAAGAAGGATGCTTCATAAAGAAAAGATTATTCATAATTTAGCTGACTTTAGGAACTATTTACTAAACAGTTAAAGTAACTTAAAAGTAAACTAACTACCCTCTTTAGTTAGTGTATTTAAGACAGAGGAAGAAAGACTCATGACGACACCTTTTTAGAAAGAGCCTCGGCTCCTATCCAGGGGGAGCTCTTTCTGTGTGCATTTCTGGCGGGGACGTGAGAAGTTGTCTAACACTTTGGCAGACAGGTTGTCTGCTTCGTGTGTCGGCTACACACCCCCTTGGTTGCCTCTCCCCCTTATTTTCCCAACAGATCTCTCTTGGCCAGCTTCTTTTGGGTCTTCTGCACTTGCAACATTGCATGCGGCATGAAAGGAAGATGGCCAAAAGGGTGAAAGGGGCCAGCGGAGGCAGGCAGGCAGCCAGAAAGCCAGCTCTTTTTTTGGGTATATCTTTTTTGTGTTTTTTGAGGCAACAATTGTAATTGTTGCTGGTGTTGCTGTATGTTGTTGCTGTGTTGCAGTGCTGTGGCTGCAACTTTGCGTGGGAGTTTGTTGTTGCCGCCGCTGTTGTTGCTGGCTGAGTGAGATCCCAATCAAACAAGAGACAAATGGTGTGCACAATCTTTCTATGCGGAATGAATGTACGAAAATTATCTCAGATGACACTTTTTTGTGTGGCATCTGTTGCTCACGTTGATACACCAAAGATATACACATACAGGCCTGGCCAATGAAGTTGTCAAATCAATGCTTAGATACTGCCAGAGCCAAATTATTCAATAAGCCATTTCCCAAGCTCATAAAAAGCCTTTTACACAAGAGATGGTTTGTGTTTTGCCATTATAGCGGGCAATAAAAATGGTAATTGAATAAGGGAACGGGGTTTCTGGGTCTCTCTGCACTTGGATAAATTATATATTTATAAATAGAGGAAACATTACTGTAAAGGAAAAAGTATTTATTTCAGCTTGGAATATCCTTCAACTTCAAATAACTTTTGAAGTTCTAGATAGTTTCTTTTGACCAAAGTGAGCCCCTTACAAACTATTCTTGTTTAGAATACCATCTTATTCAATATTTTTTCGAGTGTGCACTATTTCGGTACTATGTACAGGATTAGGATTACGATTATTGTTACTTTTACGATTGCGATTACGATCGGTGGGAAGAGGACTTACCCCATTGACACAGTTCCCCGCCAGCATTGAGAGCAGTCCCAACACGACTATCAGAAGGCAGGGGCTCCTCCACCAAAACTGAAACTGAAGATGTTGCTGCTGCTGCTGTCGGTGATGCTGCTGCTGCTGCTGCTGTTGCAGTTGCTGCTGCTGCTGTTCATGTTGCTGCTGCGGTGATTTGTTCGCTGTTGTTGCCGCTGCCATGATGTCTGTTGTTGTTGTTTTTTGTGATTTTTTTTCTTTTTGGTAATACGTAATTTAAATGTGATTTTTTTTTTGCTGCTATCTAAAAAATACAAAACGAAAATCGAAAGAAAACGAGTCGAGTGGGTTGAAGATATTAATTTTCTGTTTTCGGGCTTAATGCATTTCGGTTTTGTTTAGCTATTTTAGAAAGGAAGCTGCATCTTCTTCTCCTTGTCGGCCAGTGTGGTATATAATTTGATTTTACATCTATCTATCGTACATGTCTATTATGTGCTGCGAGAGGAGGCAACCACAACTATTGCTAATGGACAATCGAGTATTGCTGCCGTTGGTGCGACGTTGCTGCGTTGCAGCTGCCGCCAACGGTTGCATTCACTTTTGTTTTTGTTTCTTTTTGCGGGGCAGCGGATGCTTCTAATGGATCTTAATTGATAATAACTCCAATTGTTTATCTCGGGGTTAACGCTATTGCGCAGAATTCTTGTTTACAACATTGTTCCATCATAATTTGATTACCTCAAAGCTGGCTTTTAATGTAGTAAAGCTGATCGTTAAGATACAAAGCTTGTTGGGTATTTTTATTGTTATTGTTTATATAGGATGCACTTTTACAATCCATTTAAAGCTCTTTGGACATTTATTTATTTAATGGAAAGCTAATATATTGGATATATAAATTTATTATTATATTTGTTTACCCTTTATAACCTGATATAAATGTGAGTCAGAAGTTTGAAAAACAGAAAAGGAGTTATTTCCGACCTTATAAAGTATATATATTCTTGATCAGCATTAACAGCCCAGACGATATAGCCATGTTTATAAGTTTTCGAAATTTGTTTCAAAATTAAAAAAAAGAAGGTTACATCGTTAATTTTTTCAAAAATTTTAATTATGTGAATTTTATTTTTGTAAATGTTAAATTTAGTAAGCGATTAAATAACCTAATAAAAACTAGCATTGTAAAGCTTTCCAATTTGAAATTGATGTATTTTTGGTTTAGTTATCATGATTTACATGATCAAACTTCAAGGGTAACTTTGGCTTCTTTCTTCAGTCTTCTTGAGATTTAAAAGAACGCGCAAATGATTAAATAATAATGATTAACTAATAGGAGTCCTCGGTATTAAAGGTTTCTTGTGGAAACGATAAGGGATTGATGAAGGAATTTTAATTATAGTTAAATTAAAATCAAAAACCACTTTTAAAATGATTAAATGTTTTCCTAATTAATTTAGAAATATTATTATACACAAAATAGATTAATAAGTATATATCCAAACCATTTCCTAACTAAAACAACAAAATTAAAAAATAAGTTAACAAAAGATCTCTGCATCCTTTAAAGGTTTTTTAAACTGTTTTTCCTACTCCGCTGATTTTCTCACACTCGCTCAATGTTTAGTCTTAAATTATTTCCCAGTTCGTTCTGACTTTATCCAGCACTTGTTTGCTCCTCATGGGAACTAATTGATTGCTCAACTCTGCAGCACAATTTGAATGCCACGCACTTTGCCGCCGCGCACGAGCAAAAACACTCTGGTATCGGTTTATATCGGTTTCGAATTGTATCGGATCTCGTATTAGGATCAGCGGGACTCACTTTTGGGGCGATGCGAGCCGAGGAACACGTGTGGCCGCGTTTGAAGTTGATGCAAAAGTTGTAAAAAAATTCGCATCAATTTTAGTTTTATACTCAAGCACTCGCTGGGCCCCTCTCTGCAGATGAGCGAGGCTGCCAGCGGCCAAATCCACAGCGTCATCGCTGGAATTGCCAAAGAGCAACCGCAGCCGAAGCTGGAAAACTAAATCATCGTGTCTCGTGGGGGCTCTCTGCGATCCGAATGGGTATCGGGTATTATTCTCTCATTCATGAGTGCGGGGGATCGTTTTTTTCGGGGTCTGGTCTATGAGTCTCTTTTGTTTTGTTTTGTTTTCGCGGTTTGTTGATGTTTGCTCGGCTGTGTCGCAAAAGCTGCGAAAAAAAAACCAAAAACAAAACAACAACAAAAATTAGTGCAAATTTCTGCTTATTGATGATGCCACTTGGCCAACTTAACGGCAATTCCATTTAATTGTCGCGCGCTTAGTGCGAAATTTTCGTTCATTAGCGCTGGATAAACGAAAGACTTAGGCAACGAACTCGATTCGACATTGATTGGAAAAGTGGGGGTAGAAAAAATACAGGAAAGTAAAACGGAGGTTAAGAGTTGAGATGAATAAAAAGGAAATTATTCAAGTTAATGAAATTGGAAGTAAGAAAATATTTTACTTATGTTTTTATACATTAAAAAACATAACAAATTGTAAAGAGTAGTGTTGGGTTTTTGTCTGGTTAATTACAGAAAACTAATGTAGATAAGTATTAATACCATTAATATTAATGCTGAGAATACGTATTAATATATATGAATACATACAGACTTTAATATGAAAACACTTAGTATTTTAAATATTTTAATACGAATATATTTATATATATTGTGTGACAAATATTAGGTAACGCATTGTACATTAAGAGATTTAATCTTTCTTCAGAAGTCTCTTAGACTCAAGAACCCACACATAATAGATAACCGGATATGTTTCTAATAATAATTATAAATATGGAATCTATATTATGTAACTCTAAGAAAACCGTCTCTCTTAATTTGTATGTGGGCCCTCCCAGAACCTCAACTCCCAACGGATGCTGCTTGTGCAATTCCATTCGCCTACCGACAGCATTTAATTTCGATTTGCAAAAAATTATCATAAATTAGACTAATTAAAATCGAATGGTGCAATAAATTTTCATCGCTGCCGGTTGGCAAGAGACATTCATTTGCTCTAGAATTGATGAAGTCGCAGCGTGGCTCAGCCGCTCACTTTCAAAAGATGTGCACGGTGGTTCAATCCGGTTCAGCTCTCGGTGCGCTTCAATTGCCCAGAGATCGACAGAGGCTAAGACATCATCATGGGGACTGGAAAAGACCTGGGATCCGAGATTCAAGACCCGGAGACGTGGCGGCAGTGGCGGCATTCTGGTTCACCTTCGAGAAAAGCGCAGACAATCGTCTGGCCGTTGCCAAACGTTGTCTATCGTGGCTTAGTTTTCTTGATTTTTTGGTTTCGAGAGCAAGTTTCGGCGTATCGGTGCGGTGGATTGTGTGAGAAATTCCCTTAATCAGCGTCAGTTGCACTGCACCACAACCACTCAAAATGGGCAATGGCAGTTGCCTTACGTACCATTTGTAAATATAGTAAATATCTTATTATCATTAGGCGTTGGTCGTCGTCTCTATATATTTTCCCCCTTCTGGAAACCGGGCTACCATTGCTCAATTGATTGATCTACAATTGATCGATTCAAGTCGAGACTTTTCCACCGCCTCCACATAATTTCCAATGATTTCACACGCGTTGAGTCGGCAACGGCCTTGACTTTTACCCATTTGAAGGCCGAAGGCGGGCAGATCCATCATCATTATCATCAGCTGGGGCTTCTTCGGGTTTCATATTTTCTGGCTGAAAACAAAAAATGTTTAATACGTGACGAAAACAATGATCAAGTAATTATGTGGCTTATAAATGTCGGCTTCCCGTCGGTTCGCTATGACACTTGCTGGGCTCTTCCGTTGCCATTCTGTTGTCAGCCTAATGCCGTAATTTATTAAATTATTTTTGAAATGTTTTTTAATTGGAAGTGATCTTCTTTTGTGTGTGTGTGTGGAGAACTGGATTACTGGCTGGGTGCCATTACATCAGGGTCAGGCCTGGCTTTGACCTCTAACTGATTGCTTTTTAACCACAAGTTGTTTATTGTTTGTGGCTGAAATCAATAAGGGGTTCATAAGAGCAGACTTGATTCTTTATTAAATTAAAGTGCTTATTGATTCGTTGTAAATTTGGTTATAATTACACAGTTCTTTGGGTTAATAAATCAGCCCTACATTAATCTAACTCAACTAGTCCAAGGCCTAACTGGACCAACTGCATCCTCTCTGAGCCGCTTCATTCATCAGTTGGCCCGGCAATGCCTCATCCCCAGCATCATTTGTCAATTGCTAACGAAATCCTACCCACTAAAAACGGAAGAGAATAAACAAAAAATACTGGCAAACAGACCGTAAACATTTTGATAAACGCACTTAGTTCTCATTGTTCTGGTTTTGGAGTTTGCAGTTGGCCAAAACAACAAAAGCAATAACATCAAAAAAACTCCCTGCCATTGCACAAAAACAATGCACTTGGGGCACTCTTTTTTTATGACTTTGGAACAACTTGATTATTGTGCAAATAAAAATTCTAATGACGATTTCGGCAACAAACAATGCAATTATGCAAAAGCCAGAAGTGGAAGGTAATTAAAGGCAGAACGGCGGCGGAATGATAATTATCGCTATGCTGCCATCCATCCAACAATGGATATGCTAAGCAAGTTCCAAGTACCAAGTACCAAGTTCCAAGAGGAGGAGAACATCCTCTGGAGATGGCTCGGCGGCACATGCCACATCCGCCAAAAAACAAAAAAAAATATAGTCGAAGAAACGAGCCGTGATCTATCATCACCAGTCTTTGTCTCGGATTTGCGCAACTCCGCCCCTTCCTTCCTCCACCCGGTCACTTCGCTCTCCAAAATCCCACACATCATCTGGGCTAAAAGGTTTCGCTCCGCCACAAATTGTGGCAAATTGTCTATGGGTTTTGTAATCGAAACGCGAAGCTCCTTCATCGAATTGTACAGAATTCCCCCGGTTGAAAGTGAATTTGCGCAAATTGTTTTGTCACTCGACGGATTAGTTGAGTTCATTTGTCCCCCAAGTTGGCCAACATTGATTGATACTTTTCCTCCCTTTTTCTTTAAGTTGCCAGTCATCCGTTCAAGTGACTCTTTGAGGTGACTTTATTTATTTACAATTTTTTGCTTAGCAATTTAAATTTTTGGCATGATAAATTAGAGCTTAGGGGGGAATATCCTAAATAAATGTACATGTTTAAGTGGGTCACTGGGAGGA